ACTGTGGACCAACGGCTAGTCCCAGGACAGAGCGTGCCGGTGCTGCCAACTAGCAAACACAAGCACTTCGATCTAAGCCCAGCTTCCCACCATGGTGGGCCTCGCAAAAGCATCACAATACGACGCAAGGCAACTGACAATGCAGCTTAGTACATGCCATGCTGGCCAACCAGCCACGCCTTGGCCCCGCTCGTACCACGGCCCAGCTTCCCTCGCATGGGTATCGCAAGGGCCAAGAATATAATAACAGGTGGGGGCACACAGAGCCTCCCCCTCTAGAGAAGGAAATGGCCCCGGCAAAATTGCCCACACCCAGCTTCCCACCATGGTGGGCCTCGCAAGGGCCGGAGCAAGAAGATTCCATGTAGTGTGGGACGCAAACCGGCAGCGGAGCTCGCAGACGCGTGAGCGGGAGATCGCCGAACGGCTCCATGGGGAAGAAAGGCAGTCCCCTCAGCCCAAGTCCCACCTCCAAGGGCTGCAGGTCAATGAATGCAGACTGGATGGCCGCAGCGCGGAAGAAGTCCGAGCCCTCCTAAAGCCAAGGACCGTCCTATAGGCGAGGCGGGACGCTGACGCCAGCACCACTAAAGCCTCCAGATCGATTTGGACAATGGTGGCGTGCACTTGAAAGCCAAGCCGCACGATCAATTGGAAATCGGTCGGAACCCTGAAGCCACAGAAAGTGCGCTGCGCCAAGTATGCAGAGACACGGCGGTGATACTCTGCAAACTGCTGCCGAAGAGCGAGGCCCGCAGCCTTACGCTCCTGCGTATCAATGGCGCAGAGCAACTGCCGAGTGGCAGCCGATGGCGGGGCTCCAAAGAGCACCGGCATCGAATGCACCGACACGTACCTGACGATTGGAGCCACCAGATTCTCCGGGATCGTGGCCATGGCTTGTTTTCTAGCCAGTGCTGTAAAGGCCAACATATGGAAGTCGGTGGAGGCAAGGGTCCCCCCAAACCCCTAATGCAAAACGGGCAAGGGTTGGTCGAGGGTTCGGTTCTGGAAGCTATTTCGGAATACAGCTTACACTGTCGCATCCAACACCAGGTTTGACCCTGTGTTTTGCGGTTCAAAGATAACTTAATTTTTGTTTTGGCCTAAAATGTCTGGTGTCCTGTCGTTGGCAGATCTTGTCTTAGTGGGCACTTGACAAAAACCATGATTTTGAAGCTGATGGGGTTGATCTGTCCAGAGACTTGAATATGGCTGAAATCACAGCTGGAGCACGCACTCTGATCCAACTTCTAAAATTGGACTCCTGGTTTGGGCCTAATCTAGTAGACGTCTTTTCGAGCGCCGTTGTTCTGAAAGACTCTGCTTCTTTTTCGCATCCCGTTGTGGTTAATCTCGCTGTTCGCAGAATACAGAAGTGCTAGATCTACACACTCAGCAAAAGATAAAGATTTCCGAGGTCTGCACCTGGAACCTTCAGCAAGACATCAAAATTTCCGAGGTCTGCAACTGGAACCTGCTGAGGAGAGTTGCTGCAGATGCAGCATTTGCTCCCCAGAGGTCTTCCCTGTGCACCTGCGGAAAAAATGAGAGTTTGATCACTTTGCCCTCGTGTTTCATCCTGAAAAGCCCTTTTCGTTGAAGACTTCAACTATTCAAAGAGTTCGGGTTTAGGATGTAAAGTTTTAGGGTTTAGGGTTTAGGAGTACTGCCAAGTAACAAACAAAACATCACAAAACACAGCAAACATGCCATGAATCACACATTGAGCTGCTTCAGGTGCTGATTTCACGCTGCCTGCCACGAAAAGGCACGTTTTGGAGGTGAACGGGGCTGTGAAAGGCCACCATAGGGGAGCAACCGGGAGGGACACGGGAGGGACACGGGAGGGACAGTGGAGGGACGACAGTGGAGGGACAGCGGGAGCGACGGGAGCGACGGGAGCGACAGCGGGAGCGACATTCGGAGCGACAAACGGAAAACGGGAGGGACAGGGAGCGACAGTGGAGGGACAGTGGAGGGACAGTGGGAGGGACACTGGACAACCCAAGCTGAACCCATAACAAAAAAACGTGCGTCTAAGCCCAATTCTTGCCTCAACGTGTCATTCTTCGCAAAATCTATCCAAAATCTATCCTTGCCCTCGAAAAGCATGACAGTTTAGGGTTTTTCGGGTTTAGGGTTTAGGGTTACTGCAAAAAGCACAAAACATCACAAAACGCAGCAAACATGCCATGAATCACAAGTATTGGCGCTTAAAATGCTGATTTACTTTTTGGCGGCACAGGACTTCGGAGCTGGTTGGCAAACAGACCTTGCAAAGCTTGACTTTACACACAAGGCTCCATCAGACACAGACTTTCCTGTGCTTGACTGTATGCACAAGGCCCCATCAAGCCGCACCTCGTCAAGGCCCTCTTGGCCTTTCTCAGGTCGCGAGAAAATCAAAAGCAATTGGCCGCTCCTAGTCTTCAAACCTTCTGCAGCCTTTCTTTTCTTTGGTTTCCCCTGTTGGGGTGGCCCAAAATCCGGCTCCAGATCATCCATGGGCAGCGATGCCAAAAAGTTCTTGCGACATGTCAAAACTCCATATTTCCAGACTCACATGTAACTTGTAACATGTTGTTTGGAACCAGAAAAATCACAACAAGCATGGAATCACATGGGATGAAATCATTACAAACGAGTCCTAAACTAGCACAAAAAATTATGCTGCTTTGTGATTTTCTGGAAAAGGGCCAATATTCTGGATGCTGAAGCAAGAGCCATCGACAAATCTCAGAACCAATGATTTGCGTTGAACACGGAACACGACGAGTCCTTGTCCTCAAAATCATATGTTTTACCCTAAACCTCCAACGAACCCGGCCTCCGGGTAGGGGACCCTTGCTTCCGCCGACTTCCATATATAGGCCAACACGGCAGCGAAGATGTGAATAGGTAACACCCCAGGCGGCAGAATGCTGGCCATACACTGACTATGACACTGGCCACCGAGTCCAAGAACCCTAGCTAGGGTCGAATCGGGCGCCAATGCGCAGTTCCCAGGCCTTTCCAACAGGGGTCGTCATGCGGAGGGTCGGGCGGAGTTGCTGGACTCCCAGCGAAGCAGAGTCGAGTCCAAGAACGGCGAGCGAAGCCGCGTGATAGGGAGCTCAGCAAGCTCCAGAGGATAGCACAGCAAACGGCACTGTCGCCGAATGCCAATAGAAGCCAGAAAGCAGAATCAGTGCCATCACCCATATGCTGGAAGTGCACAGGCTGCATTTGGGCTGAGGCTGGTCCCCTCCCCCCCGGGTTTAACCCAGGTTTGAACCTGGGTTTGAACCTGGGTTAAACCTGGTTCGAACCTGGGTTCAACCCCGGGTCAAACCCAGGTTTAAACCCAGGTTATAACCCAGGTTTGAACCCAGGTTTGAAACCCAGGTTCTAACCCAGGTTTGGAACCCGGGTTCAACCCCGGGTTCAACCCAGGTTTAAACCCAGGTTATAACCCAGGTTCCAAACCCAGGTTTGAAACCCAGGTTCTAACCGAGGTTTGGAACCCGGGTTTCATGAACCCACAGGTTTAACCCAGGTATTAAAACCCAGGTTAAACCCAGGTTTGAAACCCAGGTTCTAACCCAGATTTGGAACCCGGGTTTAAAAACCCAGGTTATAACCCAGGTTTGAACCCAGGTTTGAAACCCAGGTTCTAACCCAGGTTTGGAACCCAAGTTTAAAGCACCCAGGTTTAACCCTAGGGTTGGTTTGAAGAAAGGCTTAAAGGAGGCTGAGGAAGAGACTTGAAGGAGGACCTTCACGAAAGGAGACGCCCACACGAAATCGCTTAAGGGGGGTTAAAGGCGAATAAAACAAGCAGAAACATGAAAGTTCAGAGACACACAAAGGCCGCACAAAACCGCTGAACAAATCGCTTTGGGGGGCTTAAACGGAAATGAAAAGAATCGAAGACCTGAAAATGGAAGGGCAAAAACATGAAAATTCAGAGACACACAAAAAAAATGAACAAAAAGAACAGGGTTCAAAAGCAAGAAAAATCAATGCCACAAAATCGCTTTGGAGGGCTTAAACGCAAATGAAAAGAATCGAAGACCTGAAAATGGAAGGAGCTGCGCCCTCCCTTTTTGTAAAAAACTCCCCGCGCCTTTGACGCCTAAACCGTGAACCTTCAACTCCAAATCCAAACCAATTGACAAAAAGAACGTGTCAATGGAAGCAGAAACACGAGAATTCAGAAACAGTTCTTCAAGAACTCAAATCCAGGTTGCAAACTAGATTTTAATCCACACTGGAATTTGAAAACCGCCAATTCAGGTTCAAACCCAGTTTCAAAACCCAGGTTTCAACCCAGGTTTAAACCCAGGTTTTTTTGGCGTGGGCGGGCCTCAAAGACAGCAGTTGCTGCACTCGGTCCCAGTGAGAACAAGAAGACAAAAAAAACTGTACAAGAAATCACGTGAGGGTGAAACCGGCCGCGACTTGCAGACTTAGCCAGCAGGGATCGTTCGGCCTATTTAAGCGCAGCTTCACTCGGCCACCCGTAGGAAACAGCTTCCACTAGGAAACCGTCGAAGTTTTTTTGCAGCATCTCTGCCGCAAGAAAGAAGATGCAGCAGGCAACAGACGAACAACGGATTCGACCAGCACAAGGAAACCGCCACCAGTGAGAAACTCCCTTTGGAAGGAACTGTCCAGCCCGCACAGCCACAGCATGTCTCACACTTCTAATTGTTGTTCACATCCACGCGCATCGCATCTGGGTAAAACAAATCACAAGCTAGCACAGATCCCCAAACTGCAGGACTTAAAGACGTTTCAGAACAGCCATCGAGAAAAACACCAGAACCGCAAACCGACGCCCTCAGAAACCACCTGAAGCTCAAACAACCCACCACTGTCAGACTCGTGGATTAGCAGAAGGTCGCCCTCGCACTTCTTCTTTTCTGCGACGCATCTTTTCGGCGTCGGGTCTGCAGATGCGAGCTGCTACCTCCACCTGTTTGGCGACGAGATAACATCGCAGGCAAAACCCAAACTCAGCTGCGCGCCCTGCGCTTTCCAGCTGGCTTAGTCTGTGCACAAGCAAAGCAGTAGTCCAGTTTACAAACATCACACCTGTGGAAATCACCCACGATTTGAGTGTCACACACATCACAGCTGACGTTAAAGTACGCATACTCGCTTTGGTTCAGGATAACATTTGCAGGCGGCGGAACCAACTTCAGATCATGACCTTGCTGACAGAAGACCTTGACATCTTTACTCACTTTACTCCCGGCCCCCGTACTCGAAGTAGCCAGCGGCAGCTGCGCACATCGACTGGCATCCTCCTCTAACTTCACCGGCACCACGGGGTCAGAAGAACGTCTTGGTCGTTTGGGTGCAGGTTTAATGTAGAGAACTTCCAAGTCGGAGTCGCTACTTGCCTCTGCTTTCACGCTACAGGGAATGGAAGGCGAGGGTGGCTTGAAGGCAGGAGGTTGAGAAGGCTCGGCTGCAGCTTGCATCAAAGGCGGCGCCGGTCTCTGCGGGCTTGCATCTCGACCATCATGAGCAGGAACATTTTCTGAAGGGCTTACACCATCACCGCGATCAGCGGGAACATCTTCTGGGTCGTCCAGAAGGCTTTGAAAGTCATTCAGGATGTCCACAGGAATGTCGTCGACTGAGAAAGGGTTCTGAACCTTGGCCAGAAAGTCTTGTTCTCGCAAAATTCAATGAACTAGGCTTACTTGGGACTGCGAGCTTACTCACTCACTCTGCCAACCCACGAGTTTGAGAAATCCGAAATCCGAGAGACAGTATGTCAAGCCCAGCGCTACAATCGGTTGGATGAAGCACTAAACTAAACCGATACCTGGCTGCCTCAGGACGTCGTGGATGCTGGTTCTGCCAAGCTTGGATCTCACCGAAAAGATTCCGTAAAGGCTCTGCTCTGAAAGCTGAACACCTTTGGCGCCACATGAACTCCGCCAGCAGCTCACCGTAAGCTGGCTTCCCGACCTTGCCATATTTGCGTTGTCGCAGATATTGCTTGAGCCGACCAAACAAGCCTTCCACGGAGTTGGTGGTCACCACGACGTCTTCTCCGAAGATGCGCTCCGTGCGGGAAAACTCGCCCCGGCTGTGGTTCACAGCCCGATGCACAAAGCCACTGTTCGGACGAGACAGAAAGTGGTACGACTTGTGACGGTCTGTGAAAATGAGCGATCCAGGAGCCACATGCCTTTGGATCTCTCGCTTCAAGGTTGCTTGCTTGCGATTTGGGATTTCAATCAGCACGCAGGCACCAGTGGCTTTGCGAGTAGACAGCTGCAGCTCCAGAAAACCCATGACGATGGCTTTGTGACCAAGCGTGGTACGACCAACAAACCCGCCAGCATTGACCTTCTTCTTTGTGAAAAAATTTCATCAACAACCACAACACGATCTGCCTGCCCACCTAGCTGCACTCGTCCAGCATGTGTTTGCATGACAAGCCACAAAAGAGCGCGAAGGCGATTCCGAATCTGCGCCCATACTTTGATTTTCAAGCCTGTTTCTTTCAGGATCTGCTTTTGAGGCGCATCTGAGCAAAACCAATACAAGGCTCGCAAGTATTTGGACGGTGTAAGCGAACATGGCAAGTAGTAATGGAAGAACCCATGATCGCGCCAGGACTTCCTATGGTTACACCGTTTGTGAACCGGTGCTTTCTCTTCCTCATCCTCCTCGTCCGAAACCGGATACACCTCGTCCAGCTTTGCTGTGCAGTGCACAGCTTTGCTGTGCAGTGCAAATGGCAATATGCACCGTCTTTGTTGTTGCTGAACTTCCAGTTATGACCTCGGGAACATTGTCTTTGGAAGGCAAAGCAATCCAAGCCAAATGAAAAACCAAAGAGCACGGTTGTTGGAGCACCAAACCTTCGTCGCATACTCCTCAGAGTTCGCATCCATGGCGGTTGCAAGGATTCTGTCACTGAACTGTTTGGAAGCTTGTGCACAAAACTGCAAGCAATGAAAATTCAACAAAATCATGCAATGTTTCAATCTTTCCACTATAGAAAGCACTTCATTGATCACACACTGACTCTTCGCTCCTTTGCATGACTTCTGTTTGCTGCAGAACAAGAAATTCAATGAATGTAGCACCAAAAGTGGCTCCTGAACCCAGCTCTCTTTTTGCAGAAACACTGTTAAACCCCTTGTGCACGGGCCCTGGCAATAAAAGTTGACAGCTGGGAAAGGCATGACTTCTGCTTGCTGCTGCCAGCAAACACCACACCATATCATTCATGGCTCACCACGCAAAACCCAACAACCCGAACAACACAGAAACAACAAAGCAGAGACAACAAGCAGCAACAACAAGATCAATAAGAAGAAAAAGAAAAACAACAACAATAATGAGCAGAAGAAGAACAACAACAGCAACAATTCAATGAATGTAGAACCAAGATGGCTTCTGATGTTTTTTTGCAAAAACACTGTTAACCACTTGTGCACGGGCCCTGGCAATAAATTGACAGCTGGAAAAGGACTTGATCGACAAACTTGAACTTTCACAAGAACCGCCTGCTCCAGCTTGTCCTGCCACGAACGGTTTTTCCAATTTTTTGCTTTCTGCGTTTCTCCAGCGCCTTCCAATCTGCCCTGCAGATGCAGCAAAAATTCCATTCTTCGTGCATTTTGGCTGGTTCTGCAAGCCTTCCAACTCTAGTCCGCGTGCTAAGCGTTGGCTTGCACTGCGAACACTTCTCCATAGAGACAGGACGATCTTTCTCGCGAACAAGTCTGCTCGCACGGCAGGTTTGCGACCCACTTGACATGGCAACTTCACTCTCCGTTTGACGGGGTTTGAAACTCTAACTTTGGATTCGGAAACTCTATGTTCCGAAATCTGGGTTTCAACCTTGAGTGCCAAAGTTATATGTTCTCTCCTCTTCCCCTCCGAGACCAGACTGATTTTTCCGTGCACGATCGATAACAGGACCTCAAACCGACCGTTCCACGAAACTGGAAGACGGCCGAAGTCTTGACTTTGACTCCACTGACGGTCTTTGGACAATTTGGACAATGGCTCTGTTGTTGTGGGATTTGGAAGTCTTTCACCGATGTTTTTGTTTGTTTGATGTTTTGAGCCGTAGTGCCTGCATATGCCAGAAAAAATCACAGAGAGAAACAGCGAGCATCAAAAGCTCGGTCTTTGGACATGTGAGTTTTGTTGCTAATTTCCAAACAGCTAAAACCGTTTCAAAATGTTTCCAACCGGAACCATGTCTTCAGATTTTGAAGCACAGTCAACAAACTTACCGAATGGCTCAGTTGGGCGAATGCAGCAGCACGTGTTTTTCTGTTGAGAAAGTTTTGCAACTTTGGAGAAAGTTTTCAAAAGAATTGAGTTTCGAAACTTTTGAGAAAGTTTCGGAAACTTTTGAATTTGGGTTTTCATAACCTCTCTCTGGGGAGGGTGTTCCAGTTCTCCACTCTGTAGTAGCTACGAGGCTAGTTTCGAGACATAGCCTAGAATTCCATACTTCGAAGGCCTGTCGATTTTGCGGGCTGGAGGCTCTAGGGCTCGCGATCTTAGGGGCTCTAAAGTGCTTGCAAAACGGGCGCGCGCGGCATCGGAGGCGCTTTGAAGGCGCGCGGAGGGCTCGCGAGCTGTTTGGAGGCGCTCCGTCGTGCTCCGGAGCTGTTTGGGAGCGACGCGCGCTTACGCGCGCTCGTTCGGCGCGGAGGGCGTGCGGAGGGCTCGCGAGCTGGTTGGAGGCGCTCCGTCGTGCTCCGGAGCTGTTTGGGAGCGACGCGCGCTTGCGCGCGCTTGTTCGGCGCGGAGGCGTGGGAGCAGCTCGAAAGTAGCTCGTAAGCTGCCGGCGAGTGCTCGTGAGTTGCCAGCAAGTAGCTCGTGAGCTCCTGCGCAGGGCGCTCGAAGAATTTTCAGGGCTGTCAGTCAATTTGACCGACAGGTTGTTGCGAAATTTCCCGAGCGAGTGCTCTTAAGTTGCCAGCAAGTAGCTCGTCAGTTGCCAGCAAGTAGCTCGTAAGCTGCTGGCGAGTGCTCGTAAGTTGCCAGCAAGTAGCTCGTGAGCTGCTGGCGAGCACTCGTCGGCTGCTGGCAAGTGGCGCGCCCTTAAAGTTCCTCTAAAGCCCGTTTTGCAAAGACTTTAGAGCCCCTAAGATCGTCGGAGCTGCGGGCCGTAGGCCCGCGAATCGATAGTGCTCCAAAGTACCGAATTCTACCCTATGTCTCGAACTGAGGCCTGTAGCTATCACAGAGTGGAGAGCTGGAACACCCTCCCCAGAGAGAGAAAAAAATCCTCCGGGCCCGGCCCCGTACTGGTTAGCTCGGCAGCGGAAAGCCCGCTTCTCTCAGTGCCTCTCGGTGCTGCTCGGTTGCCCGAGCATAGGCTTGCGGAACGTAAGCAGCGAGAGCCCACATGCTGCCCTCGTGCGGCTCGACCATGTGATAGCGGCGAGCATCAAAGCTCACTGGCTTATCGTGCATGTCCAGCCACCGCCCCCGGAGCTCTTGCTCCCCCTTCTTGCCGGCCAGCAGTGCGGTAGAATCCCCTTCGTCGTCTTCGATCCACACCCGTCCTCCTGTGTACTCGCCCAGAGCAAGCGCATGATTCAAGTGCCCGGCCTTGTTTCTAATGTCACGATGTAAGCCCATGCGTGGATTGAAGAGCACGGCGATGGAGGTCCAGGTGCCGTTCGGAAAGCGGCTCTTGAGAAAGCTGTTCACGGCTGCACAGGCTGCCCGCAGGCCCGTGGCATTGGAGACCCCGACCACGCCGCCGTGCCCGAAAAGCCCCAGCGTGGCATATCGCTCATAGGCCCCCGGCCCCACCGCCCGAGTGCGACCCCGGTGCTTCCAGTCCACCGACCACAGATCCAGCAACCGCACGAGGTTAGCTTCGGTCGGCTCCTCCGTGGCGTTCCGGCACGCCAAATCCATTTTTTACATTGACAGCATTTATCACCAAAAACACCCATGCCCCTAAAACACCATGCCGCACCCCAATTTTTCGGGATTTTGAAGCCACCCGGCGAGGGTGCGCCCCGACGGCCCCCAGCAGCCGGCCGTTTTGCGAGCCGACCACGCACCGGCGAGAGCCCGATTTCGGTGTGTCCCCCGCCTAGGTTTTGAGCACGATTTCGGCCGGATCGGGCCTTCCCTGTCAAATCGGTGCCGGCAAGCCCCGGAACGTGGTCGGGGAGGGTTTAGGATGGGTCGAACACAGCCACACGGAATCGCCGAACATCACGGAACCGCCGCGCCTCCGATTCTCGGGGTGCGCCCTGCCTATGTTTCACACACCCTGCCGGGCCCGCCGGCCAAAAGCGACACAGCCAGCCTCGAGAAGGCCCGCGCATGACCCAAAGGGCTTTGCCGGGCCGTTTCACACCAAACTGTGGCGAGAGCGCGATTTCGGTGGGTACGTCCCCTAGGTTTGGCTCAAGTTTTCGTGGCCTCGGCCGCTCAGTGTCGATTCGCGGCGAGCCTGTGGCCGCCGTCGACCTGATCCGTGGGGGTTTAGGATGCTCACCGATGCTCGCCAGCCTTTTTGCTCGCTGATGCCTTTGTCTTGTGTTAGAGTGCTTTTCCCGGAGCATGCAACTGTGAGCTTGTGTCGGGCCTGCACTGAAGCCGCCATCGCCACCTTGGCTTTGGCTGGCACGCGCTGCAGGCCCACAACAGTCACCATGGGGTGAGTACCGTATTCGTGGCTCCTGCCATTAGCTCGCCCCCCGGAAGCCCATCCCGACGTGGCTTGTGAAGCAGGAGTGTCGGCACATAACAGCACCCAGGGGGGGATCGCCGGGGCCCGTGGCCGCGCCCTATGCGCCACCACGGCGTCCCTTAGAGAGCGACTCCTTTTCGCTCAGCTGGTCGCGGGCGCTGTGGGGAGACCATTGATTTTTTCCATTTCGTAACAGTATTCTAGCTAGGCCCGCCGACTTTTGCAGTAACATTTTGCTAGAGTGCTTTTGCCGGGGTTGCTTTTGGTTTGGTTCAGGGCACCCGAACCCCTTCGGCCCTGTGGTAGGCTTTTGATCCCCGTCTGCCATGCGAGTGCCCTGCATCCCTAACCCGTAGGTTCTCCCGCCCGCGTCTGCACTGCATTCAGGTTTTGTTTCCGCGCCGCGGTCCACCAGGTAGGGTGATCAGGGTAGCGCAGCAGCACAGCAGCGTAGGAGGCGGCACACACGCACAGCAGCACAGCAGCGCAGCAACGGCCCGGAGGCGGCGCGCATCAACAGTAGGCGGTACATTGACCTATAGCAGCAGCATGTCTTCGGAAGAGTCACCCGGTGAGATGGAAAGCGTCTGCGTGGAGGAGTCGGCTGCAGTTGCATTCGCCGAAGTTGGCGGTCTTCTGATCCGAGATGAGGCGCAGGCTGGTCGCGGGGGCCGGATGCCTACCTGGGACACTCGTTTGAGCGGAAACCTTTTGGTGTATCGCGACGGACGTCTCGAGTGCGACGTCGGGTGGACTGCCAGCAGCACAGTCGGAGAGGTGATTGAGTCGGCCGGGGCCACTTGCAACTCCGGTGGCGCCGACAGGTTCGAGGGCTGGGTCGTGGGGCGAATGGAGCTCCATCTGTCAAGTTGCGGAGTTCGTCGCTCGTTTGAGGCGACTCTGGAGGACACTGCTCGCGATCACATGGATGTGGCATTTCGGCTTGTTCTCAGAGGGCGCTTTGCTCGTGGAGTAGCTCGTCAGCTCGCCCGCCAGCGACGATGATCGAAGTGCAGCATCGAGGGTTTTTAAAAGTGTGCCGCGTGGGTTTGTCCCTCCGAAACCCTTTCGGCCCTGCTGTAGGTTGCTCACCATCTGCCCTGCAAGTGTTTTGCAAGTGAGTGCGCATCGGAGTGAGTCCCGAACCCGCTAGGCCCTCCCTTCGGCCCTGCATTGAACTTGTTGGTTTCCGCGCTCGCTGGATCAAGCTTGTGGGGACGGGCGGGGGGTAGTTGCGGGCGGTCGGGCGGGTAGGTGGGCTAGCGTCGGGACCTCAGCTTGCTTGGGTTGCTTCGGTGTTCCCCTTCCCCAACCCTTTTGGTTACCCTAGGCCGCCTCTCACTGCCCTGTCCCGTTGCCCTGTCCCCGTAGGCTGCCCCTTGCCCGCGCCTTTTCCGCCCAGGTCTGGACCTTCTCCGCCGGCGTGGTGCTCGCAGGGGTTCTTCAGGGGTTGTTCGGATGTTGTGCGGGCTTGGTGTCGTGCGAGTGCAAGTGCACAGGAGGGACCTGCGCTGCTTCCCGTAAACCTAGAGTGCCCTGCATTCCCCATTCCCGGGAGCCCCGGCCCCTCCTTCTTCGCTCAGGTTGGAATCTCCGGCGAGCGTCTTCGCCGACTTCGAAATGTCTGGAGCCCTGTTGCCTCTTTGAAGTCGGCTGGTTGGCATGTTTGGATGCTTTGGATGCTGGACAGCATTGGGGCCCGACTGCCAGTAGGCTTAGCGCCGACGCATGCCTGCAGAGCACGACGTTCACATACTTGGTTAATGTGGCTAGCTGGTAATACCACGAAGCTATCATCTGTTGCCATGGTTCGCGTCGTATCACTGAGCGGGCGAGAGGTCGACGTCCGCTGGGGTCCCGAGGACACCTTGGCCGATATCGCCGAGAAAGCCAGAGTGGCACTCGGCACCTGCCGCGGACGGCTTCTCCTCGGCACCGACGTCCTTAACTTCGACAGCAAGATGAAGGATGTGGGGGATGGAGTCCTGACGTTCCAGTCAATTTTGCCCCGCACGCTGGCGAGTTTGAAGGCATACACGATCCTGTACGGCGACGGCACCGCGGAGGCGGTGGGGGACCCTGATCTCGGTGGCCGAGGTGGCGCGCAGGGGGTGAAGGCGGTGCAGTGCACCTGCCAGGCCTTTGCAGCCCTCTTGGATAATGCATCGGTCGTGGCTTGGGGACAGGAACTTGCCGGCGGCGATGCGAGTGCAGATTTTTACGAGGAAGACATCGTGCAGATCCAATCCACCGACACCGCCTTCGCGGCCATAACGATCGACGGCGCGATCGATTGCTGGGGTAACCCGCACACAGGCGGGTTGGGGCCCCTTCAGCCTGGCGATGATGGTGAACCTGTACGGCTTGACGTGGAGGGAGTGATCGCCATCCAGTCCACTGAGCGCGCCTTCGCCGCGATTCTCAATGATGGCAGCGTCGTGGCCTGGGGTGATGAAAATGCGGGCGGCGACAACCGCCTGGTCCTACCGGCGCTGAAGAATGTCGTGAAGATCCAGGCGACGGAATCGGCCTTCGCGGCCATTATGGCCGACGGTAAGGTGTCTTGCTGGGGTGACCCGGAAGCAGGTGGCGACGGCTTCTGGTCCGAGGATGGGGAGGACCTGTGCGGGGTCGTCGACGTACAGGCCACCCGAGCTGCCTTCGCCGCAATCACGTCCAGCGGCTCCGTGTGCGCCTGGGGTCACGAGGCGGCTGGAGGCGACCTGGGTGGCCGCGTCATCACGGACGCCGTGGCCATCCAGGCAACAGACAAGGCCTTTGCCGCGATCCTGAAGGATGGCTCCGTGCGGGCCTGGGGCCATGAGGAATGCGGTGGAGACTGCGAGGCCGTGCGGGACCGCTTGGTGAAGGTCCGAGAGATCCAGGCCAACGACGCGGCCTTCGCGGCCATCTTGGAAGACGGCTCCGTGGTGACCTGGGGCGAGGCCGACTGTGGTGGCGATGGGCCGTCATTGCAGAACGTGAGGTGCATCCAGGCCTCGGCAGAAGCCTTTGCAGCAGTCCTGCATGATGGCTCCGTGGTCACCTGGGGGGATGCCGCGGCGGGAGGAGATAGCAGTGGAGTGCAACATCAGCTGCGGGATGTCGTCCATGTGAGTGCGGGTCTGGGCTTCTTTGTAGCAACTTTGGGCGATGGCACCACCGTACATTGGGGTGCGATCTGAATCCCCTGGCATGGCAACGGCGCCACGGTACAGAGGCGGCGCCTGCCGGTCGAGTTAAAAGAAGTGCCCTGTGCTGCAAGTTCGAGAGCCTGCAGCCCCGAGAGTCCTGCCCTCTTGCTCTGCCCAGGTCTCTTCGGCGCGGCGCCTGGACCTTGTCTGTGTCGCCTCTTGAAGTTCGGTATGCTTGTGAAGGGCTGATCTAAATGAATCACTCCCCCTCGCTCCCAGGCCTGGAGTCTTCGGCACGGCTCGCGACGGCTTCGCGCATCGCCTGGGCCCTGGTGCTCTCTTTGCTGCCTCTTCGAAGCCGGCTAGTTGGCATGTTGTCGGCGTTTCGTAGCATTTTGCTTGCAAGCATCCATAGCGGCCGTAGCTGTGGGCGAAGGGTTGCCGACCTGGAGGATGAGCAGCGAAGCTCGGGCGCTGGCGGTGCAGCTTGCGCTTAGCCCAACGCACCGAATGGGCGAACGATGTGGATTCAGGATCTTTCCAGGAACCGCACAGAGCTGCTATAGGCAGATGTTGCGCTTGATTCACCCTGACAAGTGCAGTGACCCGCGAGCCACCGAAGCCGTCAAGGAGCTGCAGAGCTTCGAGCCCTGCCTGAGCAACAGCGATCCGGAGTCGCTTCGCCAGCAACCGATGAGTGATCTGGAGACTCTTCTGGATCAAGCGATACAGCCCGAGCTGAAGCAGTCCGGAGAGCCGGAGCCATCACAGCCGGCCTCGCAACTGCAGCCGGCCGCAACCGGCTTCGTCCTTGAAGTGGGAGCTTTCGGAAGGGGCTCCTCTGCTCCTGCAGTGCCCGCGGTCCGCAAGGGCGTCCCGAAGCCGAAGGCCGCGTCGTCTGGGGCAAGTTTGGATAGGTTCATTAAGCAGATGAAGGCTGTGAACGCTGCTGCCAAGGCTGCAGCGCCCAGCGTTGCAGTGCCGCCCAGCAAGCCGAAGGTTGCAGAGCCCAGCGAGCCGAAGGTTGCATTCAGCGAGCCCGCGGTTGCAGAGTCCAGCGAGCCGGAGGTTGCACAGCCCAGCGAGCCCGCGGTTGCAGAGTCCAGCGAGCCTGAGGTTGCACAGCCCAGCGAGCCGGTTGCACAGCCCAGCGAGCCGGTTGCACACAGCGAGCCGGTTGCACACAGCGAGCCGGTTGCACACAGCGAGCCGGTTGCAGAGCCCAGCGAGCCGGTTGCAGAGCCCAGCGAGCCGGTTGCACAATACAGCGAGCCGGCGGAGGAGGCATCAGCCGAGCCGGAGCCCTTCATGAACGGGAAGCTGGGTGAGCCGCTCAAGGAGTACAGGGACCACGTGGTGGCGAAGCAAGACTTTGAGCAGTACGGCCCGGACTGCCCGCTGGAGGAAGTCCGACGCTTCCGGGAGTGCCTCTATCGCGACGAGAAGGACGCGGCGAACTTCAACCCCTACTGGGTCGTGCTGGAGTTCCCCACTCGCACTGGTGTGGGGCCGCTGCCAGAGTGGAACGGCGCGATGGCCTTCTGTCTTCGCGAAGGCGATCCCACGAACTTCCTGCTCGTGAGCAAGAACAAGGGCGTCGCGGTGCGGGCCGAGAACGTCTTCAAGGTGAAGAAGGACTGCCTGCCCCCGCTGTTCTCCGTGATCCTCCAGGCCGGCTGGCAGCGGGGCAACATCCGCATCTTCGACAAGGGGGCCTACTACCAAGCCAAGGACCAGGACGCGGCGGAGTTTTCCCCACGGGCGGCGCTCCGAAGCCTGGAGCACCTCGACCCCGTCGGCTACATGTCCCACATGGCCAAGCTGGAGGACCGCTTCGGAGGCGACACGGCCCTGCGGACTCGCAAGCGCAAGGCCACGACCGAGGATGAGTACATCTACGTGCAGCGGGAGGCCCTCAACAAGCTCCGCAAGGCCGTTGATGAGGAAAAGGAGGCCAAGGCGATGCTGGCGAAGTCCGCGCTTTCCATCGCAGACTTCAACTACGAGACCTGCCAGTGCTGGTATTGGGACGAGCCGAGTGGCTGCAAGAAGTCCGTGCCCTTGGACGAGGCCGTCGCCACCGCCATCCAGACGAGGAGAACCATAGTGCTTTACGGGCCTCCAGGTCGAGGCAAATCGCCCTTCGCCAAGGCACTGGCCGGCTGGTACATGCAGCACGTCCTGGGTGGCAAGATCGACGAGATGATCTTCACCGGCACCGTGGACAGCCTCCGCAAGGCGTACCAGTTCAACCTGCTTCAGGGCGGGCGGCCCCTGGTTTTCGATGATCTCCTTGCCAACCGGCAAAACGTGGGGAGCCAAGGAGGAGGGCCGGACTTTGTGAAACAGCTCTTAGGCATCTCCCGGGATGATCGAGCGACTCTCCAGAGTCGCTACGCAGATATGCAGATCCCACAGGATTGCCTGAGAATCATCACGGTTCAAGATGTCGACAAGGTGCACCCGGGGCTCCAGGCCATGCACAGCGCCACGGAAACCCACATCCCCAAGGAGTTCTGCGGGGACTTGCATGACATGCCCATCAAGGAGCATTTCGACGTGGACCGCCGGGCAATCCTCAAGAGGATGGTCGCGATCTTCGTCCCCGATGGCATCCTGAAAGGCGAGGTGCTGGGCGGCCGCGTCGAGTCTGATCAGGAGAACATCGCCAGGCTGCGGGAGCTCTGGAGTAAGACCGTCGGCTGAAGCCGCGGCGATCTTTTGGCACAGCGGTCAGTACAGGACCCCAGCTGTGCCCTTAGGGCCTCAGGGCCTGCGCGTTCGGCGCAGCTCCGTACAGGATCCGCTGCCGCGCCCGTGCAAACAGTTTCGCAGCTTCAAGCCTTGTGTGCCGTGTTGTAGGATGCTGCAGGTCGCTTCTGTGCTTTTTTAGCTCCGTCACTCTGATCCCCTTCGCCTCGCTCAGGTTCGAACCTGCGTCACTGCGCTGGTGCCTCTGTTCAGGGTTTTTTCGGACTCTGCGATTGTGGGGGTTGTTGTTCCGTGCGCGCACAGGAGGGCCCTGCACTGCTTCCCCCATCCCGTAAAGCTAGAGTGCCCTGCGACCCCGGCCCTGTTCCCGGGAACCCCGGGCCCCTGGCCCCTCCACAGGTTCGCGGATGGTTGCGCTTCCAGCCCGCTTCTATCTCAGGCAGGTCGCTTTCCACGCTTTCCAGGTTTTCCAGGGTTTCCAGGGGGGTCTTGGGAGGGACCACAGGCCACCCTGGAAAGCATGGAAAATTGAATCTAGGAGCTTCATTTTTCCACGCTTTCCACGTTTTCCAGGGTGGCCTTTGGGCCCTCCCAACACCCCCCTGGAAAGCGTGGAAAATTGAGTCTAGGAGCTTCATTTTTCCACGCTTTCCACGTTTTCCAGGGTGTTCGGAGTTCGCTTTTGAACCCTATCCTTCCAGCCCGATTCTGGTGTCTAGGAGCTTCATTTTTCCACGCTTTCCACGTTTTCCAGGGTGTTCGGAGTTCGCTTTTGAACCCTATCCTTCCAGCCCGATTCTGGTGTCTAGGAGCTTCATTTTTCCACGCTTTCCATGTTGGCTTTTTGGGCCCTCCCAAGACCCCCCTGGAAACCCTGGAAAACCTGGAAATGGTGGAAAGCGACCTGCCCGGCATTGAGGCCTGGGCTTGTTCAACTCGGCGAGCCTTCAGCGGTGATCGTCCGGAGCCCAGGTCCCGTCGTGCTTAACAGCCTTGTGCGCCGCATTGCACGTGCCTTGCGCGAGTTTTGTGCCCTCTCGAGCCCCCCCTTGCAGCTCCCTGATCACGCACGATGCCGCTGGAGATGATGTGCCGTTGGCGCCGCGCCGCATGTGCGCCCAGGCCGCCCAGGCGCTTCACGCAGTTGCACATGGTGCCTTGGCTCCTGGTGCTGGACTTCTTGATCGAGGTGCCCACGGAGCTGGACGAGGAGGCCGCCATCGGCATGGAAAGCCTCGGACGGCTCAGCAACTGCAGCCGGCTACTTTGCCACTGCATCTACGACCGGGTTCTCACCTGCTACGTCTCCGTGCTTCGTCAGTCCCGGCTTTTCATGAGCACCCGCGCGGCCAGCCTGGGTCGTCATCCGAACCTCGTCCTACGGGGACGAATATGGCAGGCCTACGAGGAGGAATCCCGATGGGAGCGCGACGAGATGTACGTCACTCTCGGCGAGCAGATCCAGGAGCAGCAGGAGCGACTCCGCGAGCTTGGGGAGCGCATGCTTGTGGTCAGAGGCCCTCGATCAGCTCGACAATTTGTCGCTTCGGCGGTGAGGGTTTTCCTGAAGCACGAACTGTTGGACATCAACATGCACTTGCGACTCCTGGAGATGGACTTTGCATAGGGGGCTCAAGCCGGCGTTGAGCGGCGCGGCCTACAGGAGCCGCGGCGCCCAAAAAATCCAGCGCGTACAGGCTGGTGTCGCAAGGACTGGCTAGCGACTCGCAGCTGAGCCGTGCGATCCAAAAAGTCCTTCTGCTGTTCTCTGCATGCATCGGCCTGTTGCGCGAGCTGACCCTGCGCCCAGGTCGATTCGACGCCTTCCAGGTTCGTTTGCAGCCGCCGGTTACCCTAAGCCCCGAACCTCCTGGCCCGACCCTTCTAGAACCCTAGTCCCTACTAGGCTGCCCTGTGAGTGCCCTGCGAGTGCCCTGCGTGTCGTGTGGGTTACCCTAAGTCCCTGGCCCGAACCCCTAGAACCCTCCCTACTAGGCTGCCCTTGCATCCGCCCTGTCGTGGACGGGAACGGGGAAGGCTTGAAGCTCCGGTCGGGCCCAGAGGCTTTTTATTTGAATAAAAACTTCCGGGCTTCCCGGCTCCCGCAGATCCCGCCGAGGCGATCACGGCGGCGCCGTGGGCCCGGGATTGAAATCTCTAAGCTGCCGCACCGCTAACGGCACCGGCCGCCGAGTCAGCCGTGCTTTAGGCTCCGCGGAGCCGCGAGGCACAGGAAGCGCATGCTTCAGCAGGGTCTCCGAGTGGCCCGCACCGTCATCGAGTCGTAACTCGAAACCTCCCGCACCGCCCCGTACTGGGGCTGGAAGGACCTTTGCGCATTGGTGGGGGCCCGGAACGCCCCCGCCTCCTCGAGCCGCCGCTGACGGCTCCTCGTGAGCTCGTCGTTGTGCTTGAACTTCGCTGCATTGTCTTGGTAGACCCGGAAGCTCGCGGCCGGCATCGTCTCCACATCCTCGGGGGCCACCGTCACGGCCGCATGCGGGCGGGCATTGTAGGCTTCCGCCGCCTCTTCCACATGGTCGCCCCAGCCCCCACCGTCCCGCGACACCTTGCCCGCCAGATCCTTCTTCAAAGTTTGAATCGCCCGGTCCACCACCGCCGTCGCATTGCGGTCGGAGGGGTCCTTCTGGCGGTGCACCGCGCCTCCGGGCAGCGCCGCCTCCAAACCCCGAAACTCGTTCCCCATGTCCGTCGTGACCACGACGTTGGTTTCGTCCTGGACCAGCTCGGGGATGATCTCCGCGGCCGCTCGGGTGACGGTCTCCGCCCGCTTGTCGGGCAGGGCCTTCGTGGCCACCTCGCGCGTGAACACATCAGTCACCACCAAGCCAAATTTGTTGGCTCCCCGAGTGTTCTGGCTGAAATCGATGAGGTCCGCTTGCAGGCGGTCGTTCGGCCCCTCCGCCGCACTCTTCCCCAGACTCCGCGGCTTCGGCGCGAGCACCTGCCGCGCCACGTCGCTGCGCAATGCCGCCTGGGCCCGCGCACTCGTGAGGTCCCGCCGCTCCGGAAACTCACGTCGAGCGATTTGGTAGAGCTTTCGAGGGTCTCTGACGTTGAAGTCTCTAGCCAGCCTCCCTAAGAGCTCCATTGCACCGTCCTCTGCCATTTTACTGAGGTGCATGCGCTGCTTTCGTGCAAAGGGCTGCAAACGGCAAGGCGCGGCAGGGGCTGGGCGGGGTTCCTGCTTGATGCGCTCGCCCTGCCGCCAGGATGTGGTCCATTGGCTGACGCGCACCTGCGCTCGCTACCGGGCACCGCAAGGCTGGCCGTGGGCGATTCGGACGCTGTGATCAGCTTCTCAGGCGACGCCTATGACCGCACCGCCTTCTCTACGAGCGGAAGGTGCCTCGGCTGCGCTTTTGTCGTCTCAGTCCGAGTCGCCTTTGCGCCCCTTCTTTTTCTCGAGCTTTTCGACCCGCTTCTGCAGCTTCTTGACCACGCCCCACAGCACCACCGAGAGCTTCTGATAATCCAGGGCCATCAGCTCCCGGCCGTCCAGATTCGTCGTCTTGCACATCGTCGCTCCCAGCTTTCCGCTGGCCTGCACGTCCTGGGCCACGAAGCCGATCTGCTCCTTGCCGCCCCCGATGCGGTCGTAGAGCTGCGGCTCCACGGCGTCGAAGGTCTCCTGCAGCTCCTCCTCCGGGATGGCCCGGACGTTCTCCTTGAGCGCCCGGTCGCTCAGATTCACGAAGCCGTAGCCGAAGATCAGCTCCCCGTTGTTGCTGCCCCCGGTGTTGGGCTCGACGGCCAGGTTCGCCAGCCCAGATGTGGTGTTGATGCTGATGAACTGGTCTGGGGCGTTGAGCTGTGCGCCGCCGTTGGCCAGCGCCACGAGCTCGCATTTCCCGCCGGCCGGGGCGTTGTTCTGTGTGCCCAGGAAGAGCCGCGCCACGCCCGTCGGTGCCTGGTTGATGACGGCCAGCTCGCAGAAGCCGCCGGGGTCCCCGAGCCCCGTGACGGCGGCGAACTTCGTGTTCAGCTCCAGGCCCGTGGTGCCGCCCGAGAGGTAGAGGTACGGCAGGCTGGGCTCGGGCGCGATGGCGCCGTTGACGAGGAGGGTGTCGTTGACGAGCACGCCCTGGACGCCGCCCTCGATGGAGAGCCACGGCGCCGTCGGGTCGCAGCGCACCAGCGGGGCTTCGACCCGCAGGTTGCTGACGACCTCCAGGTTCGCGGTGACGCTGCTGCTGGAGTTGAAGTGGCAGCCGTCGAGCCCACGAGCAACTGTGCGAAATCCGCCGTGGTTGCGTTGAGGGTGCTGGCCGCGGCCACCGTGACGTCTCGGTCCAGGCCGATGCCGCCGTCGGCGAAGGAGGCCAGCAGCGCCCCGTCCTCCTTGCGGATGGTGACCAGTGCATTCTGGACCTGCAGGTCCCCCGCCGAGCTCCGGAGCTCGGGCGTGTCCACGAAGCTCGTGGCCGTCAGGCTGTTGACCGTCAAGTCGGCGGTGGGGGCGACCCCGCCGCTGCTCTCCAGGGCCGTGACGCGGGTGTCGATGGAGGTGACCTGGGAGCCCAGGCTGTTGAAGGTGGCCGTCAGGGGGTAGCGCCCGTCGCTCTGGGACTTGCTCCAGCAGTCCGCCTCGACCTCGAGCACGCTGCCGTTGCCCAAGATCGCCGCTCCCGTGAGGGGCGACCTGAAAAGCAGGCTTTTCACGAGGTGCGGCGTGAATTGTTTTTGCACAAGGTGGAAGAGGCCGTTGCCCTCCGCCACGGAGGGATTGTTGGGAAAGTAGCGGGCGTCCAGCGGCCCGAAGTTGTTGTTGAGCAGGTAGCGCCCGTCCGACTGCGCCTTCGTGTAGGCGTCGCAGGTGAGCTCGAGTGTGGTGTCCGAGAGGATTGTGGAGGCTCCCAGGGGCGCCCGGGGCAGGAGGGCCTTGATCATGGGGGGCGTCACGTTGGTGCGCACCAGGGACTCGAAGCTGTTGTTGGCGTTGACCGCGAAGTAGCGGGTGTCGGCCTGCGCCT